CTGTATGAATTAAAAACACATATTAATTACTTTCCTTTTTTCAGTGCACTGGTAGTTGTATCAGTGCACTGGTAGTTGTGTACAGGTGCAATGGTAGATGTATCAGTGCAATGGTAGTTCCAAAAAAGGAACGTAATTAATACGAGTTTAGTATACAGGTGCAATGGTAGTTGTATCAGTACAATGGTAGTTAAAAAAAAGGAATGTAATTAAGATGAGTTTTTAATTTCCAAATATTATTAAATGCAACACGAATTTAATACAAAAAATAACTATAATTAATAGGGGTGTCATTTTTCCAACCCCTTAAAAGGGTTAGCATGCTAACCGATCCCCATGCATGGATCTCCTGAATAAATAAAATCAATTGAAAGAAAACCAAAGAGATAAAATTCCACAAATTTCCATTTCCACAATTATTTGTTTAGCCAACTCTATGTGGTGGAGAGATGTCATAAGCCTCATCCACAAATCTATCTCTCCCTCCCTTGTGGCCTTATCTACTTGAAACAAACTGGAACCACTTCTCAGCTCATACAAACAACATCCAAACCCAAGTACCCAGCACACATTAACTCAGCAACGAATGCAAATTTCATTATTTTGTCTTCATCGTATCAAATGCAGACAACAACAAAAATGAAGAAATATGTAACCCACAAAACAAAAGTTGTAAGTAAATTCCGTATGTTGAGTGGAGGAGTTATGTGTAGTTTAGAGTGGGTTGTAATCCCTCTCAATATTTAATTTTTGATCATAATTTGTAGCTAATACGAGAAACAAATATTGATAATTGGTAGGATAGAGCTATTCGCCCCCCATCCAAGATTTTAACGATTTTTTAAATAATTTCTACCCCTCTCTCATTATAAATCTCACCTTCGTCACCACATACGGTTAGTAGTTAGTGCATGGAAGACAAAGCCATAAATCTGAATGAGAAGGGCTGACTTGAATTGTGATAACTAAGTGAGGAAGCTCAAGTCTTACAATTATTCTAGTTCCTAAGTTTTACCCTAGCTTCAATCTAATTCCACCATTGTTAGCAGTGTTGTGAAGTCGAACTTTTTTCACTATAAATTTCATGAACGTGGTTAATTGTTGATTATGTAGTTTGAATTTTGTGTGCATATATAATATTTATGACCATTTAGGCATGCAAATTATTTGGTACGACTACAAATTATTTGTTAACCATTTACAACAATAATCTATGCACGAAGTTAAAACCTATATCTTAGGGATGACAAAAATATCCGTAACCGTGGATATTCGCTCGAATCCGCCCTAATCGGGTAGGATAATACCCGAACCCGAAGGACATTTAGTGGGAATGGGTGAAACCCGAACCCGAATATTGCGGGTAATGGGTGGGCATGGGTTTCTGACTATCCAACCCGAACCCGCCCGATTATACACATACATATGTATTTTGTCTAGAAATAATCATTATTTTTCTCTAACATATTTTATATTTAGCATATAAATATAATATTTTCATGAAATTGTGTTGTTTTAATTAATTTTCTTCATTCTAGTGAATTATTGTCATACTTTTCCTCTTACGTAATGTGAGAATACATATGAAGGTTAAAATATTGGTTGGAGTTATGAAGAGAAATTATTATCCATGGATAACCGTGGATACCCGAAACCCGAACGGGTATGGGCATGATTTTAATTTTCTACCCGTTTCACATGTGGGTATGGATATGGGTAAAACCCGAACTACTTAAGGTAGGGTAACGGATATGCACTATCCGTCCCCGACCCGACCCGACCCGACCCATTGCCATCCCTACTATACCTAGCTAGGGCCCCTAAATAACATAAGCAAAAAACAATATACATCATAGTTAGAATTGAACATATTTTCATCATCGCAAGTTCGCAAATATTTACTTTTGCGTATGATTATCATCGATGACCTATGTATTCATAAGTTGTCCTTTTACGAATGTCTAATAAAATTGAATTAAGAATTTTCTAGTAATCCTTTCCACTACTCAAATTATTGAGACGAGTTCTTATCATGCATGGTATTGCAATTGTAATAACCAGCACTCTTAATAATTGAATTAAATATAAAAGTGGCGATTACCACATACAAATTTCATACTAAACCCTAAAATATATAAATCCATCAATCTCAAGAGGGGTAACACACTTATAAAAAAGAAAACCTGTTTTTCTAATGGTATTTTTTAACGTTATCATGATTCTCATTCTCATCATCATCGACCATCATTCCTCCAACTTGGCCGCCCCCCTACTCGATCTCCTCTTCATATCATCATCACGTTTCCCAACGAAACCTTTCACCGACGTGGCTGAATCTCACTGGTTGGTCTGCAACATGGGTTGACCCCATTACGGCATCTGAACCATCATGAACCTTCGGATCACAGTCCGTGGGTCCGACCCGACCATCTTGTGATGGTATGTTTGACTACAATGCAAGCTAAGCTCGGGACTAAGAACGCAAGGAACGACCCTCTAACCGGACGGAACGGATGGGTATAACGCCGTTGTAACGTGGTTGAAAACTCTGATATAGTTCCTGAACTTGTCTTGAGTTGTTGAGACGGTGCACAATCTTTTTTCTTATGCTCAACATGGTCATTGACATATTTACTATGCATGATTCGTTCAAATGGCCTACCATGACCTTGAAATATGTACTACGTACCAATACCATGATGTGGCGTGTACCATATTAACTAGCTTTGATACATCAAGTTATACTCCAAGTAGAGTTAATAGGGCTAATACCACTACAACATCCGAACTATGACGAAAATGCCACTTGTATCCTATTCTTTTCAATATTCCATTCATATCCTGAACTATTATATTTTGTGTCATTTGTATCCTGCCAATTTCGTTGACCGTTAAAGATAACAGTTGACCAAACGGAGGTCAACTTAACATTGACTTTTGCTGACGTGGCAGTGCCAAGTCATTGACACCTCACATTTTTTATTTATATTTTATAAAACTTTGAAAATAAAAAATTGAAAAACCTTTAAATTCAAGAATATTACTAAATAATATTCTAAAACCCCAAAATTCAAATAAAAAAAATCTCCATTGATTTCGTATCGGCAGCCGCCCTTGACCTTCTCCCTCCCCAACCTTCGATTCCCCTCCCCAACCTTCGATTTCCCTCCCCCCACCTTCGATTCCCCAGCAAAAGCTCTAATCGCCGATGAATCAAAAAAATCGATCACTCTTTCGCCCCTATTCCTTCCCTTCCTCGCTTCCTCTCCACCTGCAAAGATTTCTGGCCTACTCAAACCCATCCATCTTTCTCGATCTGAAAATCAATTAAGCTTGCCCATTACTTCAACCAAGAAAACCCCAAATCCCATCACAAACCTTCTTCCCTGGTGTCTCCCTTTTTGCTTCTCCCATCGACGATGACCACCTTCGACCCTCTCTGCCAAAAGAAGCTACGACGGATCCGAAGAAAATAAAACAGATCTGGTCCCATAGTGTGGTCGCCGCTTCACCTTGCCGCCATCATATCTCTGTATCCTCCTCCGGGCGGCTCTCCTACCGTCGCGTTCACCATAGGCCACTGATTCCTCAAGCTTCCCTAGTTTGAAACATTTGACAAATCGGGATTTCAACTCTAGATCTACCTTTCCTCTGCAAGCGAGTTCATCTCCAGCTTTGTGCCACCGCTTGGCTCCAATTGCAACGAAGGAGATGAGTGTGATGGCGGCGAAGACGATGACGATGGAAGCTGCTTTAGGGTTTCATCGCTAACTAAATTGGAGGTCCGGCGCCGCTTCTGTCTCCGGTCGGCCATGTTGACTAGATCTGGACTTCTTTTCCTTCTGCGTTTCGGTCCGAAGGTGTGGAGCTCGGGCTCGAGTTCTAGCTCCCAGCTCTTGGTACGGTCGGTGGTAGCTGCGGGGAATATAAATGGATTGGTAGCTTCGTAGCTGCAGGGAATAGAAATGGAATCCACAAGTGAAAAGAAGGAATTGGAATGCAGGGAATGAATCATGGAGATTATTTTGAAATGTTAATTACAAATTTTTTTTTCCTTATTTTAATTATTTTAGATGGAAAAATAAATGAAAATTGATAATGAAAATTCCACATCAGATGCCACGTCAACGCTGACTAGATTTTCTGTTAAATACTAACGGTCAATGCCGGTCAACACTAACGGAATAATAGTTCAGGACACAGATGGAATATTGGAAACAATAGGACACAAGTGGCATTTTCCGGATAGTTCGGGTGTAGTAGTGGTATTAGCCCGAGTTAATATTACCCAACATCTGGCGCATGTAAATCATACGTAGACTGGAATTACTCTACTACATACAATGGACAAGTATGATTTTTTTTTTTTTTTTGTAGTTGTATGGCGTTTATACATGAATATTAGAATGACCTAGCTAGCCAGCTTGACCTACCATGGCCTTAGTTACAGAGTAAGACAAGGTCTATCAAGCCTAGGCTTATCGCACTCAAAATTATAAGTTTGCATTGTTGCTATTAAGTGGAAAAAATAGTTATAATAGGATAAGCTTGTTGAGAATGATCTTGTGCATTCGTAAAATGTTGTGATCATCACTTATAATACACATCGATAGAAAGTTATAGCAAATGATGAGGATTGTTTTTCTCCTTAAAACTGAGCCCTGGGATGAGGAACTGTTCATTATTTTTTTTTTTTATAATGGTGATTTAACTTTCATTAACGAAAGGAACTGTTCATTATTGTCTCATTAAGTTCTTGTAGTTGTAAGGGATTCATGTAGACGTCAACCATTCTCCACCGTTCACATTATCTTATGTATGTATTTTGAAACTACACATGACATTAATCTTTGGGGGGTTGATTGGCCAATTTAACAAACTTAGTGGCTATAATAGCGAAAAACAAAAGTACAAGGGCTGAATCGGCAAACGAAACATACATGAAGTCGAGGGAACGAAGGAAGGATTAACGGACCAAAACCAAAACAAAATCAAACGTGGTTCAGTTTCATTTGACATTTGTGGGAGGCGCGAGAGGGCACTCCCAAAGAAGAGCGGAGAAGGAGAAGAAAAAAAGGGGAAATTCGGTTTTGAGGAAGAAGAAGAGAAATTGGCGGAATTTTTATAGATTAGATTAGAATTTAGATAGATAAGATTTGATGGGAAGAGCATTTGTTTACGTGATTCTGGGAGGTGGAGTAGCAGCTGGATATGCAGCTCTCGAATTCACCAGGAAAGGCGTCGCTCCTGGCGAACTCTGCATCATTTCTGAAGAACCTGTAAGTTTTCCCAAAGAATGAAAATTCCTGTTTCTTCATGAAAATGGAGGACTTAGATTTTCTGAGTTAGTTTCCCGAGATGGGTGATCAGGATTCTTGTTTTTCACGGTGGAAAGTTTGCTTCTTTCAAGCCGTTGAAGGTTTCAAATTTCAGTTTTGTCCGTTATTGCTCGCCAGTTTGATTGCATGGAGTAGATAGGTGGGTTTGGATGGGATTGTTGCAGATGAGGTTCATTCGTTGAATTACAGCACAGAAAGAGCATTGCTTTTGATGGAATTTGATTGGGGTTTTCTTGGTTTTGCATAAAGATGGTTCCTTTAAGTTAAGGCAATAAGCCAATGACTACTACTACCCCTATGTCTGCAATTTGTTTATCTCTTGAATCTAGCTTAAGTTTAAGGGCAGTTTGAGGGTGAGGAAGCTTAAGGCCGATGCCTAATCTCGATTTAACGATGAAATGGGAACTTTTCGTTGCATTCATGTTGTAAGAATACTGTGGAATGTGATGGGGTCTGATGTCTTTCAAGCCTATGCACTGAGAAACATTGCTGCTGGAATTCCTTCTATTGTAGGGTTTTAAGGTTTTAAATAGCCCTGCATAAATGTGACAAGGTTTACAACTTTCATTCAGGTTGCACCTTATGAGAGACCTGCCCTGAGCAAGGGCTATTTACTTCCAGAAGGTAAAAGGGTTCTTGTCGTTTATGTAGAGTCTGTTATCGATATGTCATAGTTCTCTTCTTACTTCTCCAGAAAGAGTAGTTTTTTTCTTCTGTTTCTGTCTATTTTCCTGTTTGAATTTCACTGGGTAATAGCTAACAAACTTCGTGCTCTACTAAGCCAAAAATTAGGATGAATCAGTTGAATACCAGGATTAGATTCAGAACTTTTAGCCATTGGGTGTTTCTATTGACGAAATTGGTTTACTCTGGATTGTAGTTTATTCTTTTCTTTTGTTACTCATGGTCACTTGTGCTTGAAGACTGAAACCTTTGATAATATGCAGCTCCCTCACGCCTCCCATCGTTCCACACCTGCGTTGGAGCTAATGAAGAGAGATTATCTCCAAAATGGTATAAAGAACATGGTAATTTTCCTTGCAGGCAATGATTACACTGCTGGACAATGTCATTATCATCTCACTAACTTCGTTCTCTAGGCATAAGCATCTCCATATAAGTGCTATTGTCATGTTACATATAATGTCAAGTTATTTAGATCTAGCAAAGAATGTTTCTCTTGCTTAACTTATCATTATTGTTCATGCTCTTGCTCATCAGGGATTGAGTTGGTGCTTGGTACTCGAGTTATATCTGCTGATGTAAGGCGCAAAACATTACTCACTGCTGCAGGGGAGACTATAACTTTCAAGTTTCTCATCATTGCAACAGGTGCTCGGGTATTGCTACCAATCTTTTAATCGTTTGAAGTTCAATTTACAGATCACCAAAATATCAATAGATGATTGCAGATAATCACGTTCACGGAGAGTGAAAGACTGATTGTCAGTCCACCAAGAAGTTGGAATCTGTATGGGATCACAAAATCTATGGTTTCTATAAACTTCTGACCAATGTCGAATTTGTGACTTGCAGGCTCTGAAGCTGGAAGAATTTGGAGTCACAGGATCGGATGCTCCAAATGTGTGTTACTTGCGAAACTTAGCTGATGCAAACAGGCTAGTCGATGTGATGGGATCCCGATCTGGTGGGAATGCTGTAGTGATCGGCGGAGGCTATATAGGAATGGAATGTGCCGCGTCTTTGGTGATCAATAAGATGAACGTGACCATGGTTTTTCCAGAACCACATTGCAGTATGCAATCGTAAATTTTGGCTGTTCTTTCATCCAATGTTAAGCATGAAATTACAGTCACCATATCTTCTTTCCTTTTCTCAGTGGCAAGGTTGTTTTCGCCGAGGATAGCAGCATATTATGAGGAATTCTATAAATCCAAAGGAGTACAATTCGTCAAAGGCACTGTCTTGTCATCTTTTGATTTTGACTCCGATGGACAAGTAAGAAAAGACCTAGTTTGTTGTATTGCTATTCAGACTTATGTCTTGGATTAGTGTAACTTGAGTTTGCAATGACTGAAAGAATGACTGGCTTGTTGCTTGCTATCATCCATCCCTTTATGTCGTAGTGAAGAGAATGCACTATCGTATTGCTTGATTTGCAGGTTACATCTGTGAACCTAAGAGATGGAACTCAGCTACCAGCAGATGTAGTTGTGGTTGGAATCGGGATACGACCAAACACCAGTCTCTTCGAGGGCCAACTGACTGTAGACAAGGGAGGAATCAAGACAAACGGTAAAATGCAGACTAGCAATGCATCAGTCTACGCAGTTGGTGATGTGGCAGCATTTCCAGTCAAGCTGTTTGGCGAGACACGGAGGCTGGAGCACGTTGACTCCGCCAGGAAATCAGCGATACACGCTGTTGCCTCGATCTTGGATCCCCAGAAAGCAGATGAATTCGACTACCTCCCATTTTTCTACTCCAGGGTCTTCGCCTTCTCCTGGCAGTTCTATGGGGACAATGCAGGGGAAGTTGTCCACTTTGGGGACTTCTCCGGGAGCAGAATCGGGGCATACTGGGTCAGCAAGGGGCACCTGGTGGGATCGTTCCTCGAAGGTGGAACCAAAGAGGAGTATGACGCTATCGCCCTGGCCACAAAGTTGAAACCAGCAGTTGAGGATTTGGCTAAGCTGGAAGAGCTGGGATTGGAGTTTGCATTGGCAATCAGTGAGAGACCGGTGGAAACTTCTCCCCCATCTGGTGACAATGACGAGAATCCCCCTGGATTGGCAGTGGAGAAGCCGACGGTGTATCCTTGGCATGCGGCAGCTGGTGTTGCAGTTGCTGCGTCGGTGGCTGCATTTGCTTATTGGTACGGGAGAAGGCGTAGGAGGTGGTGAACAGTTGGGGAGGAAAGTTGTGTAATCTGTTGAATTAGTTTACATGAAACTGAAAGCTTGTACCTTGTGATACAAGTTTCCACTTGTTGTACCAAATCATATAGGAAGTCTTAGGATATGCAGAAAGATACATCTTGTTGATGATGAGACTACGATTTGGAGATATACCATTTTCATTCAAGCACTAAAGAGTTGTGTTCTTATCATCAGGCACAAAATAAATCCATCACAAAATCAAAGTGGATGTCCAAATTTTGGTTAGGTGGTAAGTTAAATATATTGCTAAACATTGCACCAAACTAGAAATGATAGTGAAACATGGCAGATGAGTGGGTATCTCAATATCTAATTTATTTAAGGTTAAGTGGGAATCAGATTAGGTTTTATTTGTATGAACTTGATTGGGCTCTATCTGATTTAATGTGTTAATGAAATAATTTGACTTTCTTACCAAAAAATACTTTTTAGTTTTTATACAAAATAAAGAGATAGTGATTTGAGTAATGATGTTTAATTATTCAAAAGATATTCATACCTAGTGGAAAGTATGAACTTGACTACAAAAAAGAAGTTAAAAAACTACAACAATATGAGTAAATATTAAGACAAGTCGAGATAAATTGATTTGAAAAAAAAAGCGTATAGAACTAGGTAAACATAGTACACATGTCTCATTCCACGCTACTCACAAGGCAAACAATATTGGTTCATATAAGTTATGATAAGTCCGATAGAGTGAATCGTATCATAAGGTTGTAGTTATAGAACACTACGATTAATTATAGAAATACAATTAAACAAGGTATTCGGTCTAGTGGTATGATTCTCGCTTTGAAAACAGGGATTTCCTAGTTATATTCTCGAAATACCCCGTTTCACATACATTTGCCCTCCCATTAGATCAAAGTTTCTTTTCTCTTTTTCACTACACGATTAGTATATGATTAAGAGAAGTCAAAAGAGGGAAAACGAGTAAATAATGAGTCGAAACAAGATAGAGGGAGAATAAAAGTAAATATTGTGTCAAAGCAAGATAGAGAACATATTTATAGTAGTCTCCATATTTCGTCTAATTACACACTACTTAATACGAATGACCACTCATATCAAAATTGTCATTTACAATAGAAATATCTATTCAAAAACAACAAACAAGCAGGGCATTTGGTCTAGTGGTATGATTCTCGCTTTGGGTGCGAGAGGTCCCGAGTTCGATTCTCGGAATGCCCCTTTTGTACAACTTTTTGTCTTTTTCCCATTTATACCCTCTCCAGCCACATACTCTACACAACCAGCTAAGGGCACTGATGTCTTTCCACCCACACTATCATCCATAAACTCCATTCACAGAGTCACACTTCCAATCTTCCTGTCTCTTATCCTCTCCAATCCCTTCCATCTGCTTTCCCCATTTCCCTCAACCTCTGCTTCTTCTCCCCAGAATTCCAACAATGGCGTCGACGGCAGCTTCCCTCTCAATCTCCGCCGCCTCCACCAAGTGCGGAATGGTGGGATTCCACTCAGCTCCCTCCGCCGTAGTTCTCGATTTCCCGCTCCGCAGCTCCCCTTTCCCATCCCTCACCACCACCACCCGCCGCTCCACCTCCCACGTCCGCCCCATCTCCGCCGTCGCCGCCCCGGAGAAAATCGAGAACCTGGGCGCCGAAATCTCCTCCTTGACCCTCGAGGAGGCCCGCATCCTCGTCGACTACCTGCAGGACAAGCTGGGCGTCTCCGCGGCGGCATTCGCCCCCGCAGCCGTAGCCGTCGCGCCAGGGGCCGCCGTCGCAGAGGCCGAGGCGCCTGTGGAGAAGACAGAGTTCGATGTGGTCATCGAGGAGGTGCCCAGCAACGCGAGGATTGCGGTGATCAAGGCGGTTAGGGCGTTGACGAGCTTGGCGTTGAAGGAGGCCAAAGAGCTCATTGAAGGGCTGCCGAAGAAGTTCAAGGAAGGGGCTTCCAAGGAGGAGGCGGAAGAGGCCAAGAAGCAGCTCGAAGAAGCTGGAGCTAAGATTGCCATTGTATGATGGTAATCTAATTTGAAAGTTTAGAGCTTTGAAGAAGAAGAAAGGGAAATGCTTTGAATTTGGAATCTGTGTAATTGTAGCATTTCCCGATTTGAGGGTTTTAGGGACCAAGAGTACAGTAGTTTGTTTGTGATTTGTAATGTGGCTTGTTTTTGTCTCTGCAATGTTATGTGAAATTCACAATAACAAATGAACTGCCATTGGGAATGTTGCCAAGTTGTGAATTGAATTGAATTTCTGCAGGCTGGTCCTTGAAATTGCATCAGTCGGTTGCGTTTGTTAAACCATGTATTAGAGCTAAGTTGATAATATGGTATATCGATATTTTTTACTATGATTCCTACTTGGTTTTGTTATATATATCTGTCAGAAACATATTTATATATGGTTTCTATTATTATATTAAGTAGGATAATGATAATTATGGTTAGTAGAGATTTAGTCCAATTAGGTTATTCGTTAGGGTTTTCCAGTATTTCCTATATATATGTACTTTGGGATTACGTCATAATCAATCAAGAACAATATTCAGAAGAATCTCCTAAACCCTAGTTCATCCTCTCAACTCCTAATTTCTATTCTCTCCCAATCCAAGGCTTAGGCCGATTCCCAATTCTATTCTGTTCTTCTCATCTAAATCCCTAATTCTTTCTCTCAAACCCTAAATCCCTAATTGTCACGAGTGCCGAAGATCAGTATCGAGAATCCCTAGAAGCGTGGTTCTCACAATTGGTATCAGAGCCTGGTTGCAGGCACTCGTACCAGAACCATGTCGAGATTCGAAGAACTCTTGATCAGCGCACTCACAAAGATGTTGAAGTCGAAGCTGGAAGCGGAGTGGAAGAAAGAGGTTACCTCGTCCTTGCCGCTGTCCGCGAACATCGCGCAGACTGCTCCACACAAAACCGCAACCGCCGCGCCAAAGGAGTCGATGAAGGAAGATGCACCGCCATTATTGAAGAACGCAGCGGCAGAATTGGACTTCGAGGATTGGTTGGAACAACCGGCGTGTCCAATCGAGGTCGAGCAAGGGGAAATTACCGCCGATGTGAAGACCGAGAAAGAAGCTACTGCAGCGGCTGCTGCGACATCACCACCACCGTCGTCATCGGTAGCTGTTCCTCTAGCCGAGGCCACTGCCGAGAACATCAAACGGCCACAGCTGTTGGTGATCACCACCAAACCGCAGAAGAAAGAAGCCATGGCTCCACCACCGGCCGTTGCTGCCGCTCTGACAACACAGACAGATCTGGCTGCAATGATGATGGAAGAAGATCCGGGAGCGATTCCACAGCCGAGGAAACCACCCGACGATCAATCATCGCCAATCGTGAGCTCGAGCCGTGGGCTGGACTCGCCGGTGCTCTGGATCGCGTCGCTGAAGAACAAGTCGAAGAGGAAGATAGAGGGCTCGAGATTGCCTCCGCGCCGCGAAACTAAGGTTTCGCTGGTCACTACGCCTGGCGCAGACCTGGAGATGACGACCGCGACCCTGGCCAGTCTCGGCGGAGCAGAAGAGTCGACGTTGAAGACGACGCGGGGAGCGGGCGTGACCTCTCGCCGTAGTTGTTCACCGCCGGCCGAGGCGGAGCGCCGTGGCAGCGTCAACCGACGAGGAAGAGCATCGGCGGCTCCAGCCGTGCGAGGGGCGAGAGCCCTCGTAGTCGTCGAGGCGCGCGATGACGACGAGGAGAAGCTGAAGGCGAGGGCGGCAGCAAGTTTGCCTTCGAGCCGCGGGAGGAATCTCTCGCCGGAGAACGAGTTGCAGGGGAGGCCGCCTGAGAAGGATTTGAAGGAAAAGATGGCGGCGGGGTCGGAAGGGTCGCCGTCTCGCCGGCGGAGTGACGCGCCGTCGGGGAAGGAAGCGAAGAAGCGGGAAGAGAAGAAGGAGAGCGGCGGCTCGTTGGGTAGCGCGAACCCTCGGTCGCCGGTCTTGGGCAGGGGAGCAACATGGCGGCAGCAACCTCTCTGTTTGGTGGCTTGCGAGCCGCCGACGAAGGTGACCGGGACGAAGACGGCGCCGGCGAGGGCGTTGCGGACGACGGCAAGGAAAGTGGAGGGCGGCGGGTTCCATTCCTCCCAAACCCTAGGCTGCCGAAGATTTGAGTGGAGCGGGCTCTCGTCAGGCCAAAATGATGGGTTGAGGCTGGGCCAGGTTGGTTGGTTCACAAGTTGTGACGGGCCTGACCTAGGTCTGCAAAACCACGGACTCCATTTGGACGAGGCCAAGGAAGAACTAGAAGCTGGGCCAGCAAGGAGGAGGAAAGCTTGGGGCGAGCTGGCCCAGTGTAAGCCGCCGAACGGGCCACAACTTCAGCTCGAGCAGGCTGCAAATGAAATTATATATGGGCCGAAGCTGCTAGAGAGCAACGGGCTCGACTTGGATTGGGTGGACTCGACGGATGGGCCTGTCGATCTGGGTCATATGTTGGCTTGTAAGAAGAAGTTTGTTGGGCTTGTTTTGAGCCATATGACTCAGCAGAATAAGCCAAGTCGCGGGCCGCAAATGGGAAAGAAGTGGGCCGAGAAAGAGTTTTGGTGTGGGCTCAACAAGAAAGAGGGAATCTGGTTGCAAGAGAATGGTGGGCCGATTTTCCAAAGCAGGCTTTGGCTGGGCTATGTGATTAAGTCTCTTTTGTGTGGAGAAAACTTAGAAGAAAGGACAGAAGATAACTTAGTTGGGTTAGCATGTAGGCCTTCAGAGGAGATAAGCCCAAACGAAGTTAGAGGAGAGTGGAGTCTAGCAGAGTCTCATATTAATTTGGGCTACAACTCCTCCCTCCAAGCTATTATAGGTCGAGTTCAAGGTGAAGAAAGAACAGATTGGTTCGTCGTCACCACCAAACCCATTGTGGAATCGAGGGAGTGGTCCATTGAAGCTTTCGAGGTGGTTTATGAGAATGGGCTCAAGGATGAACAATTCTCCGATTCTTATTTTGTGAATTTCGAAATAGAAGAGGGCGAATTGTTCGGCTATGAAGAACGTGACACATGCCACGTAGGTAGAGGAAAGTCGAGAAAAGTTGGACTGGTGCGAGAAGAATGCATTCAAGGGATCGAACGCAATTGGAAACGAAGAAAGCGGAAGGTCGAGGAGGTGAAAGTCAACTACAACCTTGAGGTCAAGGTTGTTTTCAAGGGGGATGGATTGTCAGAAACATATTTATATATGGTTTCTATTATTATATTAAGTAGGATAATGATAATT